TGATGAGAGTCCGAACAGACTCTTCAAGAGTGTGAGCTACCTTATGAAGCTCTTTATGGAATCGGTCAATGTAAGACTGGAGGGATTCATCCCTCTCTTGCCTTATGTTACTGAGGTAGCTCAAAGGCATTGAAAACTTCCTGTTTGTTTGGAAGTATCTCAAGAACGTCGTGCTCATCTGAGGCCACGCGCTGATCGATCCTGCTAGGAGTGACCTGAACCACCGTTTGACATGAGAGGTTAGAGTTACTGCCAAGCAATGACACTTCGCCAAGTCTGAAACCTGGTGAAGCTCCATCAGGTCGTTGAACTCATACAAGTGATCCTGCGGATCAGAATTTCCATCGAACACCCGCATATCGGGCATTCTAAATCTTGATGGAAAAGAGGCGGCTAATACCGTCGGAGAAAAGGGAGACGCTACTGCGACTTGTCCTTGCTCATTTTGCTGAGCTTTTAGCTGATCTAGAGCTCATTGTATCTCTTCAATCTGAGGTAGCGGAGCTATCTGAGGATTGCTTTCAACCATGCGAGTTCGACCCTCGCAATTGCGATTAAGAAATGACCGTAGGTCGGATTTCTCCTCGCCTCTGCTGGCCGTTCCGACCAATCTTGACACACACTGGCTAGAGCCGTGTGATGGCGATGAATGGTGCAGGGAATTTTCACGACCTCCACGGTGATACAAACCGCCTCGCGGAGTGTGGGAACCTCCCGCACGATGACAATGGGGATCATTATTCTGGCGGTGATAAGAATCGACCCACTCAACACTTTTATGGGAGTGCTCATGCGATGTGGCATGGGATGACTCGGGATGCGACCTGTCACCGAGCCTTAACGCCACGGGTATTCTACCTAGGACATGGCCGGTGTTTGCCAGCCCTTTGGAACCCTTAGGCCCGCTGTTCGCCACTTGCTTACCCCTCATTCGACGCGCTGCAGTGCTCGCGGCATGGGATATCGCCTTTTTTTGCGTTTTCACGTGACCTGTAGGCGTTTTTTGTGGTTGCATCGTCCCATTTGATTAGGGTGGCATGCCCCGATCCAAACGATCTAACCTTTGGTTGACCGTTTGGAGAGTATTGTTGAACCTCCCCAGGTAGCTCATGACAGCAGGGTCAAGTTGTGAGCTTGAAGGGATATCCCCTACAGCATTTTGTGGAACTGAGGGCACCTCGGCAGAAATGTCCTCTTGTACCTGGGGGATCTCCTCAGCACCATGATTGGTTCGCTCATGTTCGAATCGGCGAGCCATTTGCTGTTGTAGGACCAATTAGTTAGAGATTCTCCTGATGAAGGACGAATACTAAATCAGGTCCTCCTTCTAGCACCAAACTGTTGATGCGTGATTTTGACACCAACTAAATGCACGTGTGAAATGCTGAGCTGGCCTAGAAGACACACGCTAATGGGGGTAGTGAAAATGAGTAGTAGGTGGAGAAACAACGTTTTAAAGTGGTTCGGATGCTTAGGCAAGCGACTCCTACGTCCACTGCTATTGTATTAATATGGAGGGTCAGGTCGCGTTCAGCGAGCTGACTTGCAAGTGATTACAGAAGGCAAAATAAGCTATTACAGAGAGAATTTAGCTATTACAGATTAAAAATGAGCCAATCCCACAAATGGGAGAGGAGCTTTCTATTTATAGTGGGATGAATTGGGGTAATGATTACAGAATCCGTAAAATGGGGGCAGACACCGTGCAAATCCTTCTTTGCGTCCCGTTGCTCACCCACTCGAGCGATTTCCTCGTTTAGTACAAGGGTTGGACACGTGGATGACCTTCAACCTTTCGCCAGCTTGGCACGCACCCACTACACTGGTAGGGGCATGCTGCTCACGCTAGCATGCAACGTGGCTGCGTCTGAACGGCTGTAGGATCTGCCTAAACTCTGACCATTTACGTTGACCGGGCTCTACGTCAGCCCTACTTTTTCAGGCATAAGAAATTATTATTGTAAGATCAACAAATGCTCAAGAGAACTTGTTAATACCTTAATTTAATTAATTTTTCTAGCATATGTATATTGATATAAGTTAAGACCTTAAATAATATAGCTAGAGTTCAGTTTGAAATATTAAAAAAATAAAGAGAAAAAAAGATTAGGACTCTTTTAATTCTTAAAATAATATAATTAGAGAAGTCCCTGGATTGCTGATGAATGATATGAAATCTTTAAAGGTTTCCACATAAAAATTTATAAAATATTGTATCATTAATTGATTTAATTAATAATAATACCATGCTTGCACACATCAATTTGTACTCTTATCTCCCTATAATGACAAATATTAAACTTTAAAAATACATAAAATATAGTATTAGTCTATTAGAGGTGACATAATATCGTATCATGTAATATAAATAAATAAAAAATATTTCCGCTTTATTGTAACTGAAATAAAAAGAAACATTGATGATATATTATGTTGCAATTTATATATATAATTGATTTAAATTAGAATCTTTATGAATTTTTATAATTTCTTCAACGTGAAGGGCTGAGATTACAGATTTGCATGACGAAAATTCAGTATGGAGGGTTGAAATTTCTTGTTTCTTAATTAACTGGTATTTTTGGCCGTATTACATCGATTTTTCAATTTGGTAGCTAATGAAGTAATCGAATGGGTGCAAGACACTTCACGTTAATGAAATCCAATAATTTCATTTCAACCATTTAATTATTCATATTCATCAATTCTATTTTGTTCTTTTCTCATTCATCATAGTAATGGATCCAATGCTTTATTTATTTTTCCTTAAATAAAAAGAAAAAAGAAAAAGAAAAAAAAATTTGGTTTGTCCAATTTCTTTTGTAACTCAAGTTTATCACCATTTTTACTTCAATAATATGCGAATATGAAGCTCAATATTGTTTCTGTTATGTCTATTACAATAACCCTAAATATATATTTAAGGATATATCTTGGTTTAGAACTTTAATTTAATATAATTCCATCCTTTTTTTTAAGTGAAATCTAATATAATTTAAAATATATTGAAAGTTCATTCAAATAATTTTGTGTACCATCATGTCAATGACTAACGATAATAGGGTAAGTAACTAAAGTTGTGGTGATCAAAAGTTTTTTATGTATTAATAGAGTAAACCACTTTTTCCCACCCAAGGTTTGCCCTAATAACACTTTCTCACCCAAAAAGATTTGAAATACCACTTTCTCACCCAAAGTTTATATTATGTTAATATTTAAAATATATTTCACTTTTTCAGCCGACGTTCGATAAGTTATCAGAAATCAGGTAAGAGGGGTTTTGTAGAGTGTATTTACGATTCGACGAACATATATTTAATTAATCAACTAAAGATTCATTGTATTTTACCAATCTAATCAATTGAATATGAATTAATCTACTAAAACACAGTAAAGCATTAATTTAAATTCATTGTACTTACGTACTTAATTAAATAATATTCATTGTATATAATTGCATTAATTTAATTAAATGTATTCAACAAAAAAATATGCGTGCATAATTTAATTGAATTAAATGTATTCATTGTACTTGATATTTTTAATTGTATTAAATGTATTCAAAGAAGTTGAGGATGATACAATAGCTTTAGAGCCTATTACCCGCAAGGAAGCACTCAAAACATTAACATTCAACAACACTTTATAATTTTTTTATTACAATTTGAGAATTCTTCCCCATAACTTTTAGATGCAATGAGAAAAATTAGAGATGAATTCAAACAAGATTTAAATTTTAAGAAAAAACAAATAACAATAGAGTCATATTTTAATATAATATCATATTCAATTAGCAAATTATTTATTTATGATATGAATTGGATCACAGGGTTATGCAAGGTTTTATAGAAAAATATTATTTTATTAATTTACAAAATTATTAATTTAATCTACTAGCCCAAATTGGGATCATAAGAAATTATCACATAATAGAGGTTATTAATTTATCGAGTATTAATTTATAGAGGTTATATTGTATGAAGCTCAATATTGTTTTTGTCTGTGTATTATGATAACCCCAAATATATATTTAAGGATATATCTTAGTTTAAAACTTAAATTTAATCTAATTCGATCCTTTTTTAAAGTGAAATCTACTCTAATTTATAATATATTGAAAATTCATTCAAATAATTTTGTGTTCCATAATGTAAATGACTAATGATAATAGGGTAAGTTTCTAAAGTTGTGGTGATCAAATTTTTTTTATATATATTAATATTTTGAAATATTTCAAGTGAACAAAGGATAATAAAACAATACAAATTGATAATAGTTGTCCCAATAACCATAAACAAATTTTTTTTTTTTCAATTACAGGGGTTTCTGTATCAACTAACTTATATCTTGATTAGTCTTCTGACCTCGAACAAGACTTTTGAAACAGGATAAGTCCTGCAGTCTGTAGTCAACAATATTAGTAACTGTTCTTATAATTCAAACTTAAGACCATAGAGAGAGCAAACCTCTTAGCCCTAAGCCTTTAACACTCGGCCAACCCATTGTTGATTTAGATTGCTTATATTAAATTAGCAAAGGATACAACAAATCCTAAGGTACAACATCACATGGGCGGCTTTGCCTTTGTTGAATTAATAATGGGCCACGTTAATTAATCCACGGCCCATGGCTTTTCACTGTGTCATACTTCAGCCCAGATCCGGTAATAATTCATAGACCAATCTCAAATAGACACGACACCCTGACTAAACCTGTCAAAATTAAAATCATACAGTCACTCCGTACAGTTTGTTCACATGAAATCCACGTGTCACATCCATCATCCATACCGTTTTCATCAATTATTAATCTCACGGTCCACAATCTCTCCGTTCCCTGTCAATTGTCACAGCCATCAAACACTACCGTCTCTCGAACACACCACCACCACGACGACGAACCCCACGCGCTCCGTCACTCGCTCACTCACTCACTGAGTCATCAGTCAGAGTCAATTCTCCCTGGGACCCTGATCCCAATCCCAACAGAATAACAAACTAGAAACCCCTTAACAAATTCCCAAATTCCCAAACCCTAAAAAGAACATTTTTATTGTTTTAATTAAACTAAACACAGTGAAGAAGCCGATTCCAAAGAGAGAGAAATCTACAGAATCTCTCAGTAGAGGACCCCTGAAATGGCGTCCTCTAAAGTCATGAAATCTACTAATTCGCAAAATTCGGATCTCTCCAAACGTCCCTCTTCTTCTTCCATTAAACCACCGGCTCAGCAACAACAACTACAACTACCGCAACAGCAGACGCTCCCTTCAGCCATGACGGTGGACGGAATTCTCCGCGACGTGTACAACTCGACGGCGGTGTCGACGACGACGGACGCCACTCTGCTCGACGCGCAGATCACGTTGATCGAGACGAACGATCATAATATTGGTAATAATAATGGTAATCATAATCAGAGTGAGGAGCAGAACGGCGTCGTTTCTATGAGTTTGGGGAAGAGTGTGGATGATGTGTGGAGAGAGATCGTGTCGGGGGAGAAGAAGGAGATGAAGGAGGAGGCAGCGGACGAGATGATGACGTTGGAGGATTTTTTGGTGAAGGCCGGAGCTGTCGATGACGTGGATGAGGAAGGTGGATCTGAGGTCGACGTGAAGTTACCGATTACCGAGCGGTTGAGTGGTGGGGTCTATGCGTTTGATTCGGCCCTACCACCGAGTCCCTTTCAAGTGGAAGGTGCGATTGTGGGGTTCGGAAATGGAGTGGAAGTGATTGGTAGTGGTGGTGGAATGAGTGGAGGGAGAGCGAAGAGAGGGAGAGTGATGTTGGAGCCATTGGATAAGGCAGCGCAGCAGCGTCAGAGGAGGATGATCAAGAATCGTGAGTCCGCTGCAAGGTCTAGGGAAAGGAAGCAGGTTGAAGAAGGTGCTTTTTGTGGAAATGAATTTTTTGTTTAGGAAATTTAATTTAATTTTATTTGTTTATATCTTTTTGCAGGCCTATCAAGTGGAATTGGAATCCTTGGCAGTGAGGCTGGAGGAGGAGAATGAACGGCTGTTGAAAGAGAAGGTAATTCTACTTTCATTTCAACCATATAATTATTCATATTCATCAATTCTATTTTGTTCTTTTCTCATTCATCATAATAATGGATCCAATGCTTTATTTATTTTTCCTTTAAAAAAAAACAAAACAAAATTGGTTTGTCCAATTTCGTTTGTAACTCAAGTTTATCACCATTTTTACTTCAATAATATGCGAATAAGAAGCTCAATAGTTTCAGTTATGTCTATTACAAGAGGATGTTGGATTAATGGGAATGTTAGATTACTGGAATATTAGATTACCTTAAAAATTACTGGAAATCTTTAGGAACATGTGTTTAGTTAATTGGTAGGTATGTTATATTAATATGTGTGGTGGGGAGGAATAAATTGGTGGTATATTATTTAAATTATTGAATTGTCCTCTAATTAAATATTATTATTATATTATTTTTTAATATTGATTATTATTTGGATTATTATAACCCTCTGCATTTAAAAATTTAGCAAAAAACAATCTCATATAAAAGTTTAGAAAATCAACAAAGCACCCCCACCAACCCAGCCACTGCCGACCGTCGACAACCTACCGACGCACGAAAGGCAAGAAATGACCTCCATGCGTCGTATGGCCATTTCTGGCCAAAGATCTGGCTATAAAACGCCAGACGTGATAGATCTGGTCGTCGATGGCTATATCGATGGCTGTTGACGGCCACAAACGTGGCCGTTGATGGTTGTGGCCGTTGATGGCCAAATTGACGGATCTAGCCTTTGAAGGCCAGATTGACAGATCTAGCCTTTGACAGCTAGATTAGATCTGACCATCAACGACCAGAGATTTAGCCGGAAATAGCCATATCAACTCACGACGACCATTTTCGACCTTTTGTGCGCCGTTCTGGTGGTACCTAGCTGTGGCGGTGGTTGTTAGCTGTAGGTGGGTGGGGGGGGGGGGGGGGGGGGGGGGGGGGGGGGGGGGGGGGGGGGGGGGCGGGGGGGGGGGGGGGGGGGGGGGGGGGGGGGGGGGGGGGGGGGGGGGGGGGGGGTGGCTTGGGTGGGCTACAATTTATTTTGAATTTAAAGGTAATTTTGTCCAAAAAGTTAATTAATTGGGGTGAAATAGTAAAAACCATATTCATGTAAATAAATTTAAAAATAAGGGCATTATTGTCCTAAAATTTTATTAATAAGGGATAGAATTGTAACAAAAAAAAATTATTCTGATAATCTTAGAATACCTAATTACCTCCAATATTACCAATAGTAGTTACTATTGGTATTTGAAGATTACTGAAATTTTAAATTACTTGACAACCAAACGTGATAATCAAGTAATATAAAATGACATAACTCCAATAATCTCACATTACCCCAAACCAAACGCCCCATAAATATATATTTAAGAATGTATCTTGGTTTAAAACTTTAATTTAATATAATTCCATCTTTTTTTTTTTTTTAAAGTGAAATCTAATCTAATTTAAAATATATTGAAAGTTCATTCAAATAATTTTGTGTACCATCATGTAAATGACTAATGATAATAGGGTAAATAATAAAGTTGTGGTGATCAAAAGTTTTTTATGTATTAGTAGAGTAAACACCTTCCCCCCCTCCTGCGCGCCCCCCCCCCCAAGGTTTGCCTTAATGACACTTTCCCACCCAAAAAGTTTTGAAATACTACTTTCTCACCCAAAGTTTATATTATGTTAATATCCAAAATATATTTCACTTTCTCAGTCGGTGTTCGGTGAGTTACCAGAAGTCAGGGTAAGAGAGGTTTTGTAAAATCTATTTACGATTCGACGAACATATATTTAATTAATCAACTAAAGATTTATTGTATTTTACTAATCTAATTAATTGATTATGAATTAATCTACTAAAATATATTAAAGCATTAATTTAAACTCATTGTACTTGCGTACTTAATTAAATAGTATTCATTGTATATAGTTGCATTAATTTAATTAAATGTATTCAACAAAATAATATGTGTGCATAATTTAATTGAATTAAATGTATTCATTATAGTTGATATCTTTAATTGTAATTATACAATAGCTTTAGAACTTATTACGTGCAAGGAAGCACTCAAAGCATCAACAACACTTTATAATTTTTTATTGCAATTCGAAAATTCAACCCCATAACTTTTAGATACAATGAGAAAAATTAGAGATGAGATCAAACAAGATTTACATTTCAAGAAAAAACAAGTAACAATAGAGTCATATTTTAATATAATATCATAGTCAATTAGCATCAACAACACTTTATAATTTTTTTATTGCAATTCGAAAATTCAACCCCATAACTTTTAGATACAATGAGAAAAATTAGAGATGAGATCAAATAAGATTTAAATTTCAAGAAAAAACAAGTAACAATAGAGTCATATTTTAATATAATATCATAGTCAATTAGCAAATTATTTATTTATGATATGAATGGAATCGCAGAGTTATGCAAGATTTTAAAGAAAAATATTATTTTATTAATTTATCGAAATTATTAATTTAATCTACTAGCCCAAGTCGGGACCGTAAGAAATTATTACATAATAGAGGTTATTAATTTATCGAGTATTAATTTATAGAGGTTATACTTATGAAGCTCAATATTGTTTTTGTCTGCGTATTATGATAACCCCAAATATATATTTAAGGATATATCTTGGTTTAAAACTTTAATTTAATCTAATTCGATCCTTTTTTTAAGTGAAATCTACTCTAATTTATAATATATTGAAAGTTCATTCAAATAATTTTGTGTACCTTAATGTAAATGACTAATGATAATAGGGTAAGTTTCTAAAGTTGTGGTGATCAATTTTTTTTTTTTTATATATATTAATATTTTGAAATATTTCAAGTGAACAAAGGGTAATAAAACAATACAAACTGATAATAGTTGTCCTAATAACCATAAACAATATTTTTTTTTCAGTTATAGGAGGTGTCTGGGCCAGTTTACGTGTACCTTGACTAGTCTCTCGACCCTGAACAAGACTTTTGAAACATGAGAAGTCTTGCGGTCCGTAACCAACAATATTAGTAACTGTTCTTGTAATTCAAATCTGAGACCACAGGGAGAGCAAACTCTTTAACCCTAAGTCTTTAACACTCGACCAACCCATCGGTGATTTAGATTGCTTATATTAAATTAGCAAAGGATACAAGAAATCCTAAGGTACAACATCACATGGGCGGTTTTGCCCTTGTTGAATTAATAATGGGCCGCGTTAATTAATCCACGGCCCATGACTTTTCACTATGTCATAATTCAGCCCAGATCCGGTAATAATTCATAGACCAATCTCAAATAGACACGACACCCTGACTAAACCTGTCAAAATTAAAATCATACAGTCACTCCGTAAAGTTTGTTCACATGAAATCCACATGTCACATCCATCATCCATACCGTTTTCATCAATTATTAATCTCACGGTCCACAATCTCTCCGTTCCCTGTCAATTGTCACAGCCATCAAACACTACCGTCTCTCTAACACACCACTACCACCACCACGAACCCCACGCGCTCTGTCACTCGCTCACTCACTCGCTGAGTCATCAGTCAGAGTCAATTCTCCCTGGGACCCTGATCCCAATCCCAACAGAATAACAAACTAGAAACCCCTTAACAAATTCCCAAATTCCCAAACCCTAAAAAGAACATTTTTATCGTTTTAATTAAACTAAACACAGTGAAGAAGCCGATTCCAAAGAGAGAGAAATCTAGAGAATCTCTCAGTAGAGGACCCCTGAAATGGCGTCCTCTAAAGTCATGAAATCTACTAATTCGCAAAATTCGGATCTCTCCAAACGTTCCTCTTCTTCTTCCATTAAACCACCGGCTCAGCAACAACAACTACAACTACCGCAACAGCAGACGCTCCCTTCAGCCATGACGGTGGACGGAATTCTCCGCGACGTGTACAACTCGACAGCGGTGTCGACAACGACGGACGCAACTCTGCTCGACGCGCAGATCACGTTGATCGAGACGAACGATCATAATATTGGTGATAATAATGGTAATCATAATCAGAGTGAGGAGCAGAACGGTATCGTTTCTATGAGTTTGGGGAAGAGTGTGGATGATGTGTGGAGAGAGATCGTGTCGGGGGAGAAGAAGGAGATGAAGGAGGAGGCAGCGGACGAGATGATGACGTTGGAGGATTTTTTGGTGAAGGCTGGAGCTGTCGATGACGTGGATGAGGAAGGTGGATCTGAGGTCGACGTGAAGTTACCGATTACCGAGCGGTTGAGTGGTGGGATCTATGCGTTTGATTCGGCCCCACCACCGAGTCCCTTTCAAGTGGAAGGTGCGATTGTGGGCTTCGGAAATGGAGTGGAAGTGATTGGTAGTGGTGGTGGAATGAGTGGAGGGAGAGCGAAGAGAGGGAGAGTGATGTTGGAGCCATTGGATAAGGCAGCGCAGCAGCGTCAGAGGAGGATGATCAAGAATCGTGAGTCCGCTGCAAGGTCTAGGGAAAGGAAGCAGGTTGAAGAAGGTGCTTTTTGTGGAAATGAATTTTTTGTTTAGGAAATTTAATTTAATTTTATTTGTTTATATCTTTTTGCAGGCCTATCAAGTGGAATTGGAATCCTTGGCAGTGAGGCTGGAGGAGGAGAATGAACGGCTGTTGAAAGAGAAGGTAATTCTACTAGTAGAATGGTTTTTTTTTTTTCAAGGATAATTGTTTAGTTAATAGTGCTTTTAGCAACTTTCTATGCTGTATATTTGATATTGGTGCCAGTTATAGTGTCTAAGGATCTTATGCTTTGGTTATTTGGTTATGTTATTCTCTGTTTTCAAGATGAGGCAACCCATTTTAAGAAATTATCATTGTTCACTGGAGGAAGTGAACAAGATTAATCAGTGATTTATGATTATCTAGCAGGCAGTTTAGCAGATTTTATGTTTTTGAATAGTGTTATTTTTTAGTTATCAGTTGAATGTTATTTTGCTGTGTGAGCACAATTATGTTTAGGTGCCTGATATTGTGCAGAATAAGAACATTTGTTTTAGATCTTTGTGCATATGCGTATAATTTTATTTAGTTTGTTTGGGATGAAAGAATGAGACGATACACTAAAAGCGGATATCAAACATTACTCATTTGTGTTTCTTCTGCAACATTGTCATATCTTTTATTCTATGTGGATAATTTGGTCAAGTTATGAAACACAAATGTATCCATATGCCTTAAGTTTAAGTAATTTGGTCTTTTACAATCAAGAAATAATGTTTTTCCCTTATAATCTCTTAATTTCATGTTCTTTATCCCCTCGATCCCAGTTCCATTTATCGTTAGGCGTGCCTTGACTCTTCTGATCAATTTCTGTTATGTTAGTAAGTTAGTTACAGATGACACATGTTAAGAATCTCTTTACAGCTATGAAATATTAACTGATACAGTTCATTAACCTTTTCTTGGAGAACTAAACCTGATTGTTTTAATGCATATTGGATTAGTTGGTTTGCACCACAACTGTGACAATGTCATAACAACATCAAAAACTGTGTTTCTTCATTATGCTCTGTTCTTTTGCTAAGACTTTTGGTCCCTAACCGAAAGTTGAAATATAAATCCTTTGACTCTCTCAAACTTCGTCAATTAACTAGATATAAAAAATTTTAGCCTTACCTAATTAGATGGTCCAAGGAGCCAATTCAATGCACCTGTTTTCTGTTGGCTTTGTTGATGCACTCTTGGTTTTGATTTCCTAAGTTTGTATGGATTTTTATAGACTTTTCAAATTAGAACATGTGATTATGATTATGGCACTGCTTCCAAAAAAAAAAGTGTGTATTTATGTTACACGACTCTTCCCCTAGTGTTTATGGTGTATACAGAGGTGTTCATCAATAAGTTGGAGGGAAGACCAGGTGTTATAGATTAGTAGTCTGATTATTGATGATGGATTTAGTTAGGGTGAATTGGGAATAAAAAAGGTCAAGAAAATGGATGACGTATAGCATATCTCAGGATCACTTGTTACTGTTGTCATTCTCTTTGTTATACTGTTACAACCTCCGTCCTCTTTATTGATTCATAACGTCTCAATGAGAGTAGCCACAAGAGCCTTAGATAATTTTTAGCTTTGTTATAACATTTTGTATTCATTATTAATATGCTTCTGCATCTGATTTATGCTATGAAAATATTTATTATAACCTGTGTAGGTTGGTAGGTGAATTATTACTGATTCTATTGTTGTCCAAAATGTGGTTATATTGAACTTGTATATATTTGTACTGTATTGTTTGGTTGGTGCCATGTGGTTTTGATTTCTACTTTTGTCCAATTTGCTTATATGATAGCTAGGTTTATGATGTATATGTGAACTGAAATCTGTTTGTTATTTGTTCAAGTTGTATTAGTTTACCAATTGATGGTTAGGACCGTGCCTTCTGAGTCAGTTTTCTTCAAGTCGTGTTGTCAACTTGGATTTTTCTTATTCTTGACTGACCAAATTTTTTCATGTGCAGGCTGAGAGGACCAAGGAAAGGTATAAGCAGGTAAAGTTTTTATCCTCTTCTTCAAAAAATGGCCAATCATTGCATTTTGGTATGAGGAGATAATTGTCAGGTTAATGGTGGAGTAATTCAAGCATAAAACATGGAAATACCTACACCTGAGCTATATTCAGGTTTGCTAGTATATTTGTAGTAAAGGACAAGCATAATTATGTGTTGAGAATGATAGCTTTGTTTGTTAGCATACACACTTTAGACAATCTTAATTTGCTACATAGCTTGTAGTCATTATGATTTCAATCACTTTTTAAAATGAAAATAATTAATTTGTAACTTAAACATAAATGACTATTACAATATATAAAGTATAATCTTTTCTAATCTTTTCTAATTTTGTAATAGTATATATACATAATTCATTCAGTTTGGGTTTTGAGTTATGATATATCTCTAAAGGCTGAACTGAATCAAATATAAATGAGTTTTAAATTGCATGAACATGGAACTGTAGAAAGCCAGATAGGTTAGGTTGGGTTAGGTTTGATGCAACATGTTCTCTTGCAAAGCCCTATCTACAATACACAACATTCAAAAGTTACATTGTCAAATTTTATCATTATCTCTAATCCAGTACTCATGAAGCTAGTTAGAACATTTTTGGAAGCATTTTGCTTTTATATAATCTGACCTTCGGGACCATGGGTCTTCAATATTCATATTTGATTGTATGAATAAATTGTTGAACATGTAACTGTTGTCATATGTTTGGATGTTGATGATTGTTAAACCTTGATAACCGCAAGGGATTGATCGAATGAATGGCCCCTGGCTTATAACCCAGGGGTTAAGAGGTTTAAATCTTCTTGGGTCTGTAAAAGTCTTCTTGGCGGTCCCTGACTACTAAAGGTGGTGGGGTACAATTTTATTCTCGAGTGTGTGTCATACCTCAACATCTTATTGTGCATAAGGGAATTATGTCTGCATGGTTTTTTCTGTAAAATTTACTAGTTAGTTACTTCATTCATCAGAAACTATAAGAAGAGCCGATGTGAAGAAAACTGATTTAATGTTTTACTTCATTTATGATTTGACCTTCAGTGGTTGGTTTATTTTTATCATATGTCTTACTGAGAACAGACGAGGAACAGGATAGTGTGGGGCATTAAATAAGTAGGACCTAGTAAAGTGAGTTACTCTTTTTCTGATTTAGTTGTTGATTTTTCCTGCAGCTCATGGAAAAAGTGGTTCCAATTGTTGAGAAGCAAAGACAACCACGTACTCTTCGGAGGGTTCGCTCAATGGAGTGGTAGGTTATGTTTTGTTTTGAGCGTAATGCAAAACAAACACCTTTCTCTGACATAGGGATGAAGCATGGCACCAACATCATTTTGGTGAAATATCTTTATTTTAAAAGTAGTTATTTCAACCAGATGATCGTTTGAGAGCAGTAGAATTGATTGTTAATACAAAAGATGAAAATAGATTCTGTCCTCTTTAAGTAATTGAAAATTCCTTACTATTAAAAGAGAGAGAGACAGACTTTCACCAAGTGAGATAATGTAGATCGAGTAAGTAGATTTATGTAGTTAGGGGGTGTTGCTATGCAGAACTTGTTTCTTCAAATTGCCTTTATGTTTTGAGAAACAGAAGATTCTGGATTAGTAAACTGTATTTATGGGTCGACGAGCAATGTCAGCTCTTTAACACGATATAGATTGGTGAAAATTCCTTGCTTTGTGAATTTTCTGGTAAATTAGTCGGTGACAAATTTATGCCATTTCCTTGGGATGTCATATGTAATATTGCTGTTTCTAACATGTGAATAAAGCGATTGACCTCGGAAAACCTGATTTTCATCAGGCGATGGACGCAATTATCTGCCAATGTATATTTATTTTCTAGTTCAATATGAATCTGTATCTTTTTCAAGTTTTCTGAATTCAGATTGGTTTGATTCCTTTCTCTGCAATTATGTGATTGATTTTAGTTTCTTATATACCTTCATATAGAGATAATTGAGAATGGGAGAGTTTTCCGGCAACAATACTTGGGATAAAATAGCTAAATCAAATATAGATCCATCATCCATGTGAATTAACAGTTGATGCAACCTCCACGTGCAGGTGCTCATGTTTTGTCCTCCTAGTCCTATGCAACTGCTTTTGATAATTTAATTATAAACACTTTTATCGTCTTCTTCTTGGCCTCTTTTGTATATGCTTTTTTTAAAAGCACTTTTGTTACTCTCGATCCCATTGTCTTTTAGTCCTTGTTTTTACATTTTCAGCAGAAGTTGGCTGCACCCGCATCGAAAGTTGCAATTTGTATTAAAGCTCTTGCCCCATACCCACAAGTTTAAAAATTCTTAAAATTTTTCTTTTACAAAGAAACACTTTAAAATAAGTACCCGGGGCAATTTTACTTGTAATTGTTCTTTCAAATAAACTCTGGAATTGTTTTTTTTATTTAATATATGTTCATGGAACCAATATGATAAGGTTGAAGGAAACAAACAAAAATTGGAGGGAAGCTGAATTGAAGTGTTGTGTTTTTTTTCTTTAATACTGGGGAAAATCTTGTAGTATCTTAAGTAACTTTATGTCATTTTCCCAAAACCCTTTTGTTCTTGTTCTTATTTTCCTTTTAATCTTGTCTTTGTCAATCTATAATTCATTCCTTTTGTTAAAATATTATTTGTCCAAGCTCCCCCACTTCCAACACTAGAATTTCTTTGACAAAATTATTTACACTCTTTGTGATTGTTTTCATGTCCTCTTCTGTTTCTGCACAACTTTTTACATAAAAATCATGTCTTTCTATTGGGAAAATTAATAAAGAAAATTTTATGTGGCATGAAAGAGAGTTTTACTCTTTTGAGAGAGCACTTCTCTTGGCCACATAAAGCAATTAAATCATTTTAACACTTTGACTTGGTTAAAATTTTAAAGATAGTAACCACTAGCCTTGTGGTCAAATTGAGTTATCTAGATGGGATATATAGAAGTCTTGTGTTTAAGTCTCACAAAGTAGTTATTTACTATATTAATGATTTATTTAGCTCTTTTAGTTGACGTGTTCGTTTGTAGAATATTCAATAGATCTAGAGATTAGTAGAGATACGTGTATACTGACCTAAACTGTGAGACACCTAGGTTATATAAAAAAAATAAAAAATTTCAAAATAGTATATCCTGCCTTGTAGTTTTCAACATTTCCATGACCAAAGCCTTTTGTTCTTTTCATCTCGCCTGCAAAACTTTTACAGTGTAAGAATCTGGTGAATATTCGTCTTAATGTGCGTCATAAAAACATACATTAAAATCATAAAAACACAAGATTTTGGAAATGTAGGAATGTTAAATGAAGTTGCTCTATAAACAAACAACTAATAGAAGCTGCATATATTATTAGTTAATTCTCCAGAGTACACAAATTGGCAAGTGTTTCTGCATTGAATTTGTCTGTAATATGGACATGTTTCTGGTTTCCAAATTGCATATATCAGAAATGTTTCCTCATCTCACAGTAAAAGTCAGATTTTATTCCCTCAAAAAGCATCAAACTATGAGCACCATTACGTTAAACAAAGCAATAAAGAAAGTAAAGAAAAGCTGAAGACTTGGTAAAAGAAAAGAAAATTAGATTCCCACCTCCCCAGAAACAAATATTTATATAAATATTTGCTATTGTATATAAAGACTGCATGCAGATTTATAAATATAATAATCACAAAGCTAATCATTTTAGAATAATAATCCCCGTCATTTTTTTACAGTGATGACCCAATTCAATTCAATTCCTCTTTACTTTTCATTTAAAATTATTTCATTTCATCTCATTATCTAACCTTTTTTAAAGTTGAGAGGTTTGTTTTTCCACAAACAAAATCATTCCAACTTTTACTGTTTATAAACAATAATAAAACTCCCACTTCCATCTCTGTCTTCCATATTCTAAACCTTGCATGCCAAGCCAACTACCCAAGCACTTCTGACATCTTCTACAGTACACTTTTTCTCCCCACTACTTTTCACCCATGTAAACATAAACAATTTTTTTTTTTTTTATAATTCAAATTCCTCGGATTTATTTTGTAAAAGCGAATTCCAAATTAAAGCTCCCGTCAAACCTTATAATATTTAAGAAACGGTAAACAATGTCTTTTTACCATATAAGTGCTTGTGAAGGAGGTTGAACCCCTGCTAAACCCAATAGTTTTCGGGAAGCAAACTCGAGTTCGAAATTAAATTGGAGCCCCACTAAGCTCAACAATTTTTGGGAAGTGGTAAACAATGTAGGTTCTTATGAAAGAGTTTGAATTCTATTATCTTTAAGAAGCGATAAATAATCACCTTTAATTATGTAGATGTTTATGAGAAAAGTTGAATCTCAAATCTTATGATAGTTGGAGTACTCATAAGATTTGAGATTCGACTAAACCTCATATAATATATAATATTTTTTTACAACATAAATGTCATCACGACTCACTCATTTTATGCATTTTGAGTAAAAATGTTTCAATTATATAGATATATCACCGGTTATTTCAGTGCTTAAATTATAAAAGGATTAGATTATAAGAAAATACAAATATGTGCAAGAATTTTTATTCAATAAATAATGTCAAAATGTGAAGGTAAATTGTATGGGAATGGTCACATTATTGTTGTTATGCATGCACATTTCTCAAAATTCTCTTTTCTTTTTCTTTAATGTGCAAAAACCTTTTTTTCTTTCTCTGTGACCCAGTTGCCTGCCAGAGAGATAAAAGTTACAAAGGTCTTAAACCCCTTGAAATCTAATCATATCATTCATCCTTCTTCATCTTTTTCACCTCACTAAAACTACACTCACACCCTGAAACTCACTTCACTTCATGAAGAAGATCTCATCCTTCCTTCTCTTCTTCTTCCTCTCTTTTCTCTTTCTCTTCTCTCAACCTTCTCATTCCACCACCATTCTTGTTGATGGTGTTTCAGAGTGGAAGAACCCAACTGTTCATGTGGGAGACTCCATCAGTAAGTAGTTTTTTTGTTTTTGTTTTTCATGTTTTGTTTGTTTTTTGCTGCCAGCTTATATAACTTGCTTCCATTTTCACTCCTCCTTTCAGTCTTCAAACACAAGTATAACTACAACCTCTACATTTTCAAGAACAAGAATGCCTTTAATATCTGCAATTTCACTCAAGCTACTCTTCTCACCAAGCCCAAGTCCACCTCTTACACGGTAAATGACTCAAAAATCTCGTTTTTTTTTTTTTTTTTCCTTTTCTTTTCTTTAATGGGTACTCAAGAATTGGCTTAAAAATCTTTGTTTTGAACTCTAACATTTCATATAATTTATTTCTACAATGAAAATTATAAAGTGGCATCCTTCACGCCCTGGTTTCTTCTACTTCACCTTCAACAATGGCTCTTTCAAAACGTGCCAAGCCTCCCAAAAGCTCTCCATAGAGGTTTCATTACCACATAATGCAAGCACTGTTTCTCCACAGCACCCGCCAATGGAGGCTCCGGCACCGGTTTCAGGCGGTGTTGTTTCGTCTTCTCCTGCATATCCATGGCCTTTCCGCCCCCGCCAAGACGCTGCTTCTCCAGGTCCAGCACCGTTGAGTGGTGACGCTACTGCTCCTGTGACCGTGCCGTCTTTGGTGCCGGTTAAAGGAGGCGGCATGCCGTTTATTAACAGTAACCCTGCCGTTCCTTTGCCTACTGGTGAAGTGGATTCCGCTACTATAAAACCTGTGCCAACTTCTGGCCAATACAGACAGGTACATTCAGTTAGTTCATAATTTTACACTAAAAAAAAGAAAAGGCACAAACATTTGTCAAAACATTTTACATATCTCAAAGTTTGTGACAGTTATCATGCTTTCAGAAAATATGTTTGTGCTAGTTTTGAATCTAATGATATTTATATGTAATTTGTTTGCGAGGAATGTATTAAAAGAATTTTTTCAATTGTTACTGAAATTTTGTGTTTTAACGCATTTCTCGCCTCAGGAATGCTGTTTAGAAAAATCTCACATGAGAATCTCAATATATTTATGTAGATGAATGAATTTTTTTTTTAATTTGAAATATTTCTCTTTTAAGTAAGAAAGTGTGTCAAAATGAAGGGTTGTACTTGAAGTAAACTTGTATAATTTGAACTCTCAATTTATTTGGTACATGTTGAAACTTAAAAGTGGACAAATGTAGTGGGGTGGGGATGGTTTGATGGACAGTTGATTGGGAGTTGTTTTTGATAATGTTTGTTTGGTTGGGTGGAAAATGCAGGTGGTGGTGGGGTTTCTTGCAGGTCAAATGGTCACATTTTCTGTAGTTTTCCTGATGCTGTAAAAAAGAGGTGAGACAGAAAATTGTGGGCATTTGTATAAAGGCAATTAAACAATTATGTAGTAGCTAGCAGCAGTAGTAGCAGGCTTAAGTTAGTTTTGGTTACCAAGGGAAAGTAAAGTAGCTTTAAGAGTGATGATTATTATTATTGTTATATTTAATTCACCATATTGCAGTATGTATGGTGAATTGGTGATTGATGCTTTCTTTCTGATCTTTGGTTTTGATTTGATTTGGTTTTACCATGCCATTGATTGCATACTTTTTCTTTTTTTTTCCTCTTTATCCCCACCTCTTTCTCTTTGCCTGCTTTTCTTAATTGGACCATTGATGTCATTTTGAATTCCCAAGACCTTTGACCTGTTGGGCATTTCCCAAAATTTTAATCCAATATACTACTTAATAATATAAAATTTTATAATATTTGGTCATATTTTATTTCACGTTCAATGTTATAAAGATTGAGTATCCCTTTCAGAAACTTTAAACTCCAAATTGTAGTACTAAGATCTCATGGCATAATTCTAAGCCATAGTTTTATGGATTCAAATTCTCCTTATTCATCCGGGGGAAAAAATCTATGGTACTTCCAGTCTGTGAGCTTATTAGCAACTAGACTTGTGCAATTCAAGTTAAAAATCGCTTGTGTCACCGTCGCGTGTTTACATGTTACCCAAATGATTAGACTATTAGGTGAGGATAACTATTTTCATGTCTTTATAAGCCTAAGATATAAACCATGTCTATTCAATGTGATTATGTGAGATAATAACATGGGCTTACAAAGGCAAGTAAACAATATAGTTTAATTAGGGCTGTCCTAAACCGGTTTTCCCCGAATATTCGGGTGCCCCTAAAAGGGTACCCACAAACCGAACCGCTTTTAGGGGTACCCGAATTTGCATAACTTTGCATGAATTTTAATTTTTTACATTTCAAATTTCAATTTGTGAATACAATTCTTTCCATAAACTAAATCAACTTTTAATTTAATAACTTAAATACTTAAGATTTGAGGCTTTTGCTTTTTGCTCTTTGAAAGTTAAAGGAAAATAAGTTTAAAAACTAGGTTTTTTATTTTTTTTATTTCTTAATAAATTGGGTACCGGGTACCCGGTTATCTTAAAATAAATACCCGAACCGAAAATTCGGGTATCAGATAATAAATACCCGAAAATTCGAGATTAGTTCAGTTCAGTTAGCGCGTTCGGTTCAGTTAACGGTTTTTTTTTGCACACCTCTAAGTTTAATAAGCTAATCTTTTGAATAGTTGGTAACCGTTTAACTCGTGACACTTGGTATATAATGTAAAAAGCATATATTAACACAAATTAACTAACTTTAAAAAAGAGGTGTAAAATGGTAATTCTTGAAGGAAATTTGATTTAGTATCAGGCCGGCCCAAGGGGTAGGCAGGTGGGGGCCCAAAAAAAAAGGGCCAAAAAGGGTCCAAAATTATTTTAAAAGTTTTTTTTTAAAATATATTTACAGAAATACCATTAGACCCAAAAAAAAGTCTATAATTTTTTATCCAAGAAAAGCCAAAAGCCCCAAATTCATTATAATTTTTTTACATAAATTTACAAAAATACCATGTTTTGGAGAAGTGACAAGTTTGTACCTCTAGTTTCATACATTCCATTCACACCCCTAAATTAACAAAGGCTAGACTTGTCATTTACATGTCTAAAATTTCAAAACACCCATTCAATCCCTAAAATGATAAAAACATTTCATCTTCACTCCTCTACACCGTCGTAGTGCCGTTGTCGGCATTAAAGTGATGATTCTGGTCGATTTTCTCACCAAAATCAACTGGAATCATCACTTTATCATTTCCCAAGTGTTTTCCCAACCTTGATAACCCCTAATTTGACTGATTTTTGCTGATTTTCGCAACCCATCTCCAATGCGTGCAACAACCATTTTTAGCCTTTTCAGCATGTATCCGACGTTGTTGACCTTCCCCGACACCACCATCTTCCTCTCCTCAACCCTTTCTCCAAAACCCTTCACTTACCTGACCCTGTTAGCCTATCGATCACCGTCCACCTCTCTTTACCAATTTCGATTTTTTTCAATTAGGTTTGTTGATTGGAGTAGTTTGTTTGGGATGAGATCTGGAGTTGATTGATTGTTTTTGGCGTGTTTGGGTTTCGGCTATGGTCGACCGATGGTGGTTTGGTCGGCTAGTGTTGGGAAAGAAGAAGGGTCGGCTGGTGGTTTGGAAATTGGAATGGGGTGGTTTGGAATTTAGCCATTAAGGGTGTGAATCTACAATTTAGGAAACCAGGGGTACCAACTATGATTTCAATAAACCTTGGGTGGGTATATGCCGTTTACTTTATAATTTCCCAATTCCCATCAATCCTACCATCTGCCTATCACCTATCTCTCTAAGCTTGAAACACGTTGTTAGCTCAATTTTTCTGCTGAGACACCTTGCTTGCTGCAATCTCTTAGATCTCTCCCAAATCCAAATGATAATCTCTTATATCAATTCACTTATTCGGTTATCCCTCATTTTACTCAAAAAATTCAATGTTATCATTTTTTACTCTTTGCATTTTCAACTCATTTTACTCTTAAGTCTTAGCTTTCTCATCTTTTGTCTCTCAGTTTTCTCATCTCTATAGATGAAAATTTCTCAAGTGAATGTGTGATTTACATTATTATTTTTATGCAGGTAATATTTATTGAGGGGATTTAATTGAATACTAGTAAATCCTAAATCTCTGAAAGCGAAGAATAGTGCGAACAAAGGACACAAAATAACCACACACATAAACTCAAGATTTATAGTGATTCACTCTCCGTATGAGAGCTACATCCACTTTGTTGCTACGGAATTTCACTATGAAGAAGAAGAAGAAGAAAAAAATTACAAGAATCTCTCAAGCCTCACAAATTGGCTCACTCACTAAACCCTATCTGGTGGCTCTCACTCTCTAATTGTGGCTTTGCTTTCTATTCAATTTGTGATATCTAACTCTAGGACTTAACCCCTTTTTATAGGTAATACATGTGACACAATTCCTAATAAGACTCAAATCCTATATCTTAATAGGAATTATATTTTAATTCTCAATACAATTATAATCCTATTGCTAAAGGAAAACAATTCTACATAAACACATATTAGGAAATCCCATGTCATAATCCAACACAAATTTGGATTGAATTTGGCTCCACAATCTCAACAATCTCCTACTTGGAAACTAATTTAACATGTCTTCAATTCTTCACTTCCATCAGTAACAACATCAACTTTTCTTTCTTCAAGTGAGAAGTCCAACTAAAGTTGTACACAACTTCAGTTTCAATGGTAACCACCTTCGTAAACATATCAGCTGGATTTTTACCCCCTTGAATCTTCTCGAGATTTATAACTACTTCTTCCAAAACTAAGCGTATGAAATGGTAACAAACTTCTATGTGTTTTGTCCTAGCATGGTAGACTAGGTTCTTCGCCAGGTGAATCGCACTTTGGCTATTACAAAACAAAACACTCATCTCATAATTCTTACTCAATTCTTCTATGAACCGTTGTAACCATATTAGCTCATTATTAGCTTCTATCATAGTAACATACTCTGCCTCTGTAGTAGAAAGAGCAACAATCTTCTATAACTTTGAAACCCAATTGACAGTTATACCACCTAATGTAAAGACATAACCCGTGGTACTCTTGCGGTTATCAATGTCACTAGCCATATCAGCATCCACATAACCTTGTAGCTCTGAGTTTAACTTCCTAAAGTATAATGTTGAATCTGTAGTACCTTTCAAATATCTAAGAATCTACTTTACTGCTTCCCAATGTTGCTTTCCTGGATTGCTCATGTACCTACTCACAACTCTTATTGCATGCGTTATGTCTGGCCTTATACACACCATGACATACATAAGACTGCCAATCGCTGATGCATAGGGTACCTTAACCATGTAGTCTTGCTCATGCTTCGTGGTAGGTGACTGATCTTTGGATTGTTTAAAGTGACTAGCCAAAGGAGTATTTACTGTCTTTGCTCCATCCATGTTGAACCTATTGAGTACTTTCTTCACATATTCTTCTTGTGACAACTTCAAGAAACCTTTGGCTTTATCTCTGGTAATCCTTACGTCAAGGATTGTTTTGCAGTTCCCAAATCCTTGATAGCAAACTCCTTTGACAATTGCCTTTTTAGCTTGTCTATTTCCTGTTTACAAGCCTTGACAATCAACATGTCATCTACATATAGTAATAAGATGATATAGGAATTACCAAGTTTCTTGAAATAACAGCAATGGTCTGCTTGGCATCTTAGGAAACCGTTACTACACATAAACCCATCAAACTTCTTGTACCACTGTCTAGGTGCCTGTTTTAGCCTATATAGGCTATTTTGAAGTTTGCCCACCATTCTCTTATTTCCTTGTACTTTAAAACCTTGTGACTGCTACATATAAATTTTTTCATCTAGTTCTCCATGAAGAAACGTTGTCTTTATATCTAACTGCTCAAGATGAAGGTCTTCTTTTGCCACTAACCCAAGTACTATTCTTATTGTAGTCAACTTGACAACTAGAGAGAAAATTTTAGTGTAGTGAATGTCTTCTTTCTGCTGAAATCCTTTCATGACCAGTCTTACTTTATATCATTTGCTGCCATTATGTTCATCTTTCACCCGATAAACCCACTTGTTTTGTAATGCCTTCTTCCCCTGTGGTAGCTTTGTCAACTGCCAGGTTTGATTTGTTAATGATGAGTCCATCTCATCCTTCATAGCTAGCTCCCACTTGATTGAGTCATCAACTTGCATTGCTTCCTCGTAACACTCTGGTTCACCATAATCAGTTAGTAAAATATAATTTAATGAAGGGAGTACCTTTGTGGTGCTCTTATAGTCTTGGAACACCTTTTAGGTTCAAACACGGGCGTTTATGGTTCAACTTCTGGAGCTGTATTCTTTTGATCTTCCTGGTTATTGTCTTGCATGTCATTCCTTGGGAAGTCTTTTAAAGAAACTGCCTTTTGCTTCCTCACTTTAGTGTTTGGATTTTCTAACTTCATCTTGAGTCTATCCTTGTACATCACTTCTTCATTGAATATGATATCTCTACTCCTTATAATCTTATGGTTTCGGTCATCCCAGAAACGATAACCAAAGTCGACATCACCATAATTAATGAAAAAATATTTGTTAGATTTAACATCAAGCTTACTTCTAAGAGTAGGGTCAATGTGAACATATGCTAAACAACCAAACACTCTTAAGA